ACTTGCTTGCACACACATACACAAAGTTTACACACTATCTGCCTACATGCAAAACATTTAAATACATTTAGACATGAATTATATCTGCAAACATGTACATACACTATATCTGTCTGCAACATTATATATAGACAAGAAGACTGGTATCATAGATATTTAGAGAGATCTTGGCTACAACACAGAGACACACACCTCAGCGTTGAGTCAAAGTGCATTGTCTGTTCATTCCACCACCAAAATGGAGCAATATATATTTTAAGATGATTTTCTATGGTATGAACATGACCTTTTAAGCTCAGGCTTAATGGAGAATCCCTCCCTTTTTTGGGGGGGGGGTATTATGAGAAAACAATCACATAGACAAAACATATTTGGTCTTTGGCGTGCCCATAGTACATGTTGCTTCAAACCGCAGGATGTTTTATAATGCAAACCTTTGCATAATTGGACTTAAGGTAACTCAAGAAACAACAGCTACAAAGGTAAAGGTCAGCAACCGGCTCCAAAACACACAGCAACAGTCTAACTGACATGCTAGATGAAAACTTTATCTCATTTTCTCTCCTCCCTAAAAGCAACCTTAAGCTGGGAAACCTGTTCTGGGGCCTGGAGCTATAACTCTGTTTGTATATGGGCCTCCACTATTTGCACTCTCTCAGCCCCAGAAAAGCCATGGCAAAACCCCAAGAACAAGTAATAATAACAATAATCAATATCATCATGGCGGGCGGCGGTGGCGGGACTGGCCTGGGGCCGGTCCAAAGGCCTCGGGGGGGGCCGCATCCACCCCCCGGGTCTTAGGTTGCCTACCTCTGGTGTAGCGGCTTGAGCGTTGGACTATGACTTTGGAGACCAGGGTTCAATTCCCAGCTTGGCCATGAAACCCACTGGGTCACCTTGGGTAAAGTGCATGCACTCAGCTGCAAGGGAAAGCAATGGCAAACCTCCTGTGAACAAATCTTGCCAAGAAAACCCCATGATAGGGACCTTAGGGTTTCTATAAGTCAGAAATGGCACACAACAACAACAGTATTGAAGGCACACAACAACAACAGTATTGATGACATGGCTGGGCACCTTGTTGTGATCTCGGAGGTGCAACCTGTGCCAGCAGCAGCTAGTACTATAGCAGGACTCTGGGTGAACAGTTGCTTGGTGTCGTTCCAAAGTGCTCTGGATTTTCTCAGAAGATCTGGAGCAAATTGTTAAGTCTTTTAATTTCGATTTAATATAGAGATGGCCTGGATTCACATCCTAAGTAAAGACAGCTGAATCGAGCCTTTGACTCTGCATCATCTAGACAGTGGGATGTGAGAGCACAGGGAAACTGATGTCAATGGTCCATGTGGACCATGGTTTCCCAAACTTTGGTCTTCCAGATGTTTTGGACTTCAGGTCCCAGGATTCCTGATGGTTGGCTCAGATTTGAGCCAACCATCAGGAATCCTGGGAGCTGAAGTCCAAAACATCTGGAGGACCAATGTTTGGGAAACACTGATGTAGACCATGCAGAGAATGCACTAAAACACTTTCCTTGCTCCTCTCTCATGTGCAGACATACGCTTCATCCACTTCAACACACTAAAACAGGATAAAATACAATCAATCATGACCACACAGAAAAAAACAACCCAACGATTCCTTGATAAATTTTGACAATTTAGAAATTGGAAGCTTAAAGGTTTGTATGTAATGAGAGATTCTTGCTTTTTAAGTGGTAAGTCTAAACCCATTGAGAGAGCCAGCGTGGCATAGTGGTTTGAGTGTTGGACTACGACTCTAGAGATCAGGGCTCAATTCCTATTTGGTCGTGAAACCCACTGGGTGACCTTGAGCAAATCACATTCTCTCAGCCTCAGGGGAAGGTAAATGGCAAACCCCCTCTAAAGAAACTTGCCAAGAAAACCCCATGATGGGGTTGCCCAAGGATTGCCATAAATCAGAAACAACTTGAAGGCACACAACAACAACAACACCAAGAAGAGTAAAAAAAATATTGTTGGCTGGCACCTTACATTTTGGGATTCCTATAAGGCACACATAACACACACACACATACACACACACACACACCAAATTGATCTACCATTAAATAATCTTGCCCCTGCCTCAAAACCCTTTTGCTTTCTACTTCATCAAGTTGACACTTTTGTTTATCACATTTTGTCAAAATTGATCCCTTCCCGCAATGCCCTACCAACTTCAAACGCTTTTGTACATTAGAATTAGAGATCTCCAGAGGAGCTGCAGGTACGATTTACCACTGTTTAACAGAATTCAAGTCTGGCAATGGTAATATGAAGCTGGGAGTTAGAGTTGAAACAGCCAAAAGCATGGAAATCAGGACAATGGACTGTAGATAAATGGTGGAATCATTTATGGAACGATCCGGTTTGGCACCACTTTAACTGCCATGGCTCAATGCTGTGAAATTCTGGGAATTGTAGTTTGCTGTGGCTTCTGGCAACCCAAAGGTGAACCTATCATGGGTTTTTCTGAGGTTCAAAGTGTGTGACTTGCCCAAGGTCACTCAGTGGGTTTCCATGGCCGAGGGGGGATTCGAACCCTGCTCTCCAGAGTCATACTCCAATGCTCCAACCACTATACCATGCTGACTGCACCACTTATTATTGCGGAGATGACTGATCATCACTAGCAAAAACCAAAAGATACAAAGAGGGTAGGCCCAGAAGGAAAGCTATTTTGCTCTCCCTGTCTGTGCTACTCTTTTTAAAAAGGCAATTAAATAAAGTTTGTTAGAATAAAGTTTATTATAAAATAATCTCAGTAGCCTGAGTGGGGAGATGATGTGCATCTAAATAAATAAAACAGGGGGGAAATTGATCTCAGACAGCACATGGGACCTGTGATCTTAAAGTCACCTATATGTTCCTGGGAGCAAGTGGCAATGAACACCGTGGAGCTTATTTTCAAATAAACATCAGCAGGATTATGTTGTAAATGCAATATCCATTTAAATTGCGTTATAACTAGATCAAAGAGAATGACTAATAAGAAAACATTAGTATGGGGAGAGCACCTTTGATCTCTCTTCATAATGATTTTACAGACTAACACGGATACATTTGAAGGCTACATTAGAAATTCAAAATCCACGTCGAGAGACACACGTTCTCACTATGATTTCAAGCAAATTGCAGATCGGGTTATATGACTATTGCTCCCACTTGAAACCAGTTCTGATCCTATTGAGCTCAGTTGCAATTGTGATGAAGCAAAGCAAATGCAAAAAAAAAACCCCGCTGTTTCCTGACCCTAGCTCTTTGGCGGTTCTTTTGAAAAGAATCGATTCCAAAGCTTGTTCAACAAGTGGGAATGACGGATCTGAATCGGATCATTCTGGAGGGGAGAGACTAATGGCAGAGGGGTGTTTACCATCCCTCCTCAGTTTTTGCAAAATCAGCCATTCCACACACACCCCCAGCGCTGCCTTTGTGCTTGTGTGACCTATAGGTGAATATATTAAAAATGCACCCATAGGTCACACAAGCACAAAGCCTTTGACTGAAAGGCTATGGAACACCCTTAAAGACATGGGTGTGCCAACACATCTAATAGTCCTGATGAGGAATCTGTACTCAGGACAAGAACAGAACGTGGAGAACAGAACAGAATATGGAAAACAGAACAGAACACGGAGAAACAGAATGGTTCCCAATTGGCAAAGGAGTCAGACAAGGCTGCATCCTTTCACCCGATCTGTTCAACTTGTATGCAGAATATATTGTAAGGAAAACAGGCTTGGACATGAAAGGAGTGAAAAGAGGAGGAAGAAATGTCAACAATGTGAGATATGCTGATGACACCATAATACTAGCAGAAAACTTCACAGATCTGGAACAACTACTAAGGAAGATCAAGGAAGAAAGTGCAAAGGCAGGCTTAATGCTGAACATCAAGGAAACAAAAATAATGACGACCGAGGACCTTCATAAGTTCATCCTTGAGGAAATAGAAATAGTAAAAGAATTCCCATACCTGGGATCAAACATTGATCGAAATGGGGACTGCCGTCAGGAAATCAGAAGAAGACTCAGAATGAGGAGGACGGCTATGAAAGAACTAGAAAAGATCCTAAAATGCAAAGATA